GGTGCTTAGATCTGGCCCATGGGGTGCTTAGATCTGGCCCATGGGGCTGCCCTGGAAGCAGGAGCCCATTTTCACTGGCAGAGCACTTGGGCCACCACAGGCACCCCGACACAAGTGATGTCAAGCTGGCCATGCCTGCCCTGCCCACCCTCGAGGTCAAATGCAATCCTGATGCGGCTCTCAAAGAAATCGAGTTTGACACTGCTGGCAAAGAAAATATCACAAGCCCAGTCCTTCCTCTTTTCTAGACTGGGTCTATAAATGTGGAACAGTCAAATATGCAGAAGCCTTAATTACCTGCTTTGCTTCAAAAACATTTTCTGAAAAATTGGAAAATTTGGTCTATAGTGTCTGTGCCATGTGATGCTTATCTCTTGATACTGAGTCAAAAGCTTCAGGACAGCTCTCATCCCCTGTACAAAGCTGAAAAAGATGGGCTTTCCAGCCAGTTCCCAGACGTAAATGGTGATCAGTTCAATTGTATAGGAGGAAGGAAGCCTGCGAAACCTAAATGCACAGAAAGAGAAGTTTCAATTGCAAGAAATGGTTAATAGTAAAAGTCAAAATGCTAAAAACCAAGAACAATATGTCATTTTATTTTTAACTTTTAATTTGTTAAATGTTCCTTGCATAGGAAGATTTGTGGTTTTTTTTTTCATATTTCCCCTGTTGCCACCAAGCTTTTGATTTATGTTTTCTAATTTACAAATTAGCCATTATGTGGAGCTGGAAAAGATATGGAAAAAAATATAAAAATCTGTACAATGCATCTCCAGTGTGTTAGAGGTGCTTCCCATTATAAAGCTGGGAAACACGACAATACGAAGATCTAAAAAATGTGAACTTTAGATGCTAGCAACGTACTTATTTTCTTTGGTTGGTTCAGCAAATGAAGTTTTGAACCAGTGCTTCATTAAACGTATGAAGTCCTTCACCGTTTCTGTTGATGCTTTGACAAATTCAACTTGGTATTTCAATAAGGCCATGGAATACAGCTGGATCTTATCATCATCATTGCAGAGGTACAGCTTGTGATAAAAACTCTCTTTTGGACCTGTTAACACCAAGCAATTTATAAGACTAATGATGCAGCTTTGACCTACTGTACCTTTAGATCTTAACCAAAACCAAACCTTACAAATTGTGAGCACCAGGAAATATTTTATCAATCTAAATCTAAATACTAATGTGGAACTCCCAGTAGTGATGTTTTGGTGACAAAAAGAAGAACCGCTTTTCCAAATAGTAGCCACACCTTACCTGTTGATAACACAGATGCAAACATGTCATAGCAAGGCATGATGTCAAATGAGTGGCCATGGTGATTTTTATAACACTTAAAATAGAACCTCAAGGAAAACTTCGTGTGTTTCTGCATGACTAACCTTAAAAGAGGAAGAAAGTAAAAAATATAATGAGGCTTTAATATAACAGCTTTACTGTACATTAGGGGAGGATGGGGAGAATCAAAGTAGAAAGCAAAAAACATGAAACAAATATAAATTCAAACCTCCTTGTCCATGAGGATTTTATCAGGGCATTTCCTAACTCTTCTATGACCTCTGGAGTTGTTCTTTGGCAGTCTTCTATACTGGCAAAAGCTTTGCTAAAAAGAACTATGTCCACATCAGAAAAGTCTTGGGTGTCCGTTCCTTTTACATATGAACCACCCTGTTGCATGGAATATTACCCAAAAAAGATGGTTAATACTTGATTTTAACTCACATTCTATTGAATGCTTTAACCACAAAACAGAAATACCAGCTGCACACTTGCAGTATCTTAGGCTATTAGTGGAAAACAGGTGCATCATGGTAAGCTGCTTATCGAAAGGATTATTGGACCTTCACAAAAGTAGTTAGTGCCATATGTCTAAGTGCCTTTAAGAACATGATTACTCTAAGAGCAGAGATCAAATATGAAGGGGATTGTTTTTCTTTACTATCATCCCCAACAAAGGAACTTTATCTCATCTCAACTCTAAAAGAAAGAGGAAACTTAAAACTGGGGATATCCAAATTAGACCATTGCAAACCACTATGGTGTATCATGCAGATGCCAAAGATTTAGTCACTAGCTTTACAGACAATTGCTGTACATCATGTGAATGACTCTAACTCAGGGGTGTCAAGACTCACTGCCCGCAGGCCAATGTGTCACATGCTGGCCACACCCATGCCTGGTTTAGGGAAAGTTGTGATACATCACGTGACGCCGCCATGATGACATGAGTTTGACACCCCTGCTCTAACTGAATAAGTCTTATACAGGTTTATTGCCTTTTTGTTTTGTTTTTGACAATTGTCCTAGTCATAGCACAGGATATCTAGAGACTGTCAAGTTTTGTTTGCAATTATTTATACTATAGAAATGGACCATTTTCTACCCCTTATGCTAGATTTATATTTTGAGGGAATATGCCTTCTTGTCATTAAGAAGACATATTCTCTCGGAATTCACTTAATTTTTAATATAGAGCAACATCTTGAATTATATAAATCTTGCGTATGTAAATTTCTTTGTTGATTCATCTATCAAAGCATCTGAATATCTCATGGAGATTGGAAAACAATTTCGGTTTGAACAGCTAATATTTTTTTTTTTACTTTGCTTTTTGAAAGAGATCAGTTACTATTTGCTTTTCCGTGTGTAACCCAACACCACTCATGTACTTAATAAATCTCAATTTATATGCCCAGAGATACTTCAGTAGCTTAGTCTAACATTAAAGTTTGATACAATATAATTTACTCTATATTGCCACATATTTTTTCTTTAGCCCTCCCCCATTTTTCTGCATTTCTAACAATTTTCCTTGATGAAGAATTTTTTGAAATGTGGAACCTTGCTAGTTGGTCTAATCTAATCAAGATATTACTTTGGTATAGATTTGTTGGTCATGGTTAGGACTTAAAGAAAGTTCCTTGAATCCAATTATCTGACCACAATCCCGTTAGCCCCATTCTCCTGAATTCTGGATCTGTATTGGATGTCCAGGTCTCGCTGTTCCTCTCAGTCTGGCCTTTTGCCATCTTCTGAATCTTGATTTTACCACTGAGTGTTGGCTAAATGCATTAGTTATGCATGGACTTTACCACCATAGAACAGGATAATTAACTATGAAGCTTTACTTAATGAAATGTGGCATATTTCCAGGACATATCCTCATGTATCATTGATCCATAAAATGAATTGCCTGGAGATGCAAGACTATCATCTGCTTTATCAGTTGCATTGGTTCTTACAGAAATACATACAATATAGCTGTCTTGCATAATGCCCATCCATGCGTTCATTTTGCTTCCATATGCATAATAGCTCACTGGAATACATGTGAATGGAATGCATTTGCTCAAATCAATTCCACATGCTCTTTTCCTTAAACAGAGATTAAGATGAAGAATATAATGTATGAAAAAACCTTAAAACACTTGATTGAATTAGACACCACAGACCTCAAAAGTTCACAAAGCAATAGTGATTCAAAGGATGCAGAAGCTGTATTTTATTCAAAAATGTATATACTGCTTCCCATGAGATATTGCCTAATTCTTAACTTTTACCATAATAAGTCATATCCAGGGTTGGCATCAGTGGTGGGTTTCACTTATTTTTTACCACTGGTTTGCGCCACATTTTGCATGCACGTGCACCTTCGCATATTAGGCCAGGCTTCACGCAGGTACTTTGCTTGTGTGTGTGCCTTACGCGCATGCGCCTGTATAAAATGTGGCTAAATAGGATGGCATAGCGCCGAGGATATGTGTGCAAGTCTACCCATGATCTCCGCTATCAATTCACCTGAACCAGTCTGAACCATCTGAATACCACCTCTGTTGGCATCTTATCTGAATGTTAAAGAAGGAATTATTCAGGTTCCATATACACTTCAGTCACAGCCACATTGGCACAGACAGGCAAGATTGTCCTTGCTTCAAATCTCATGAGATTGAAAGAGCCAGGCTATTGCAATAGAATTTGATGAAAGGGCCACAGATTGGTAATTTACAGAATATCCACATTTTCCATCAGATGATAATAATACCATACTAAAATATTCTGGGCAAAATCTCTATCCAAGAGGCAAATGCACACATTTCTCTAAGTAAATTGAGTGCTCCTATAACAGTCTCACTGGAAAGCATTACTCTTGAGAGAAAATATGAAATGGATGATACTAATGAGAAACTAATGTATATATTTTGCACACAAAGCTACTAATCCAATTATGTGGACAATTAGTAATGATAGATTTAAAAAGAGAACTTTTTCATAGGGGATGAGAATGTACTTTTGTGTCCAGTCTCAAGACAAATGCATAGGGGATATAAATACCTTGATAATGGAAGTTATTGGCAATGGAAAAATTTCTTTGATAAATGTAATAATGCCTTCAACTTCTGATGTACAGGCTAGCTTTACTGGACCCAAAATGGGTCTGAGGTTTTTTTTCACAAATGTATTTATCTCCATTGGTGTTGTATATTCCAAGAAGCTTTCAGGCTTAAAGTTAGTGGCCATTTGAGCTGTACCAAAATAAAAAAATGAAAATCACAACAAATTACAAGTTTTCTTAACTTATTATTCATGACTATTCTGCATTGGATTAGTAATACCTTTGAAGCTTATGGCTACCATCAGTACCCTAACACATTTCTAAGAAAAAAGTGGAGATACATCAGAGTTCTTATGAGAAAATGGTCACTCATTAAACGATGGTCATTGGAAATTGTTACACAGCCAATGTACAGAGTTGTCAATACATCAAACAAGTGGTGGGATGTTGTCTGGGTTCCAGGAGGGAGGGGCTGCATTCCAGAGGATCAAAAGACAGCAAAGTTTAGGTAGTGTGGTTGGGAGGAACAGGATCAAAATCAGTGGTGGATTCCTACCAGTTCGGACCAGTTCATACAGTTCATTCAGTTTGGCTGAACCGGCAATAGCTTGTTGGCCTGGGTCACTAGAAACGGCAGCGACCCAGGCCTGCCACACGCCCAAAGTGGTTCGCTTGGCGGCGCCTATGGCAACACCATCCTGTTTTTTGTTTCTGCGCATGCAAAGAGCAGTTTTAGTTGTACTGTGCATGCGTGTGCAGTGCATCCCTGAGCGAACTGGCAGTAGTCTCTGCCGGAACCAACCCCTGATCAAAATAGCTCCATTCTAGAAGTTTTCAGAGTACAGTGCAATAGTTTGCTTTACCTTGGCAAGATTCTGTCTATAGATGAGGAACGATAAAGGAAAACTGCTCAGAAGAAACTTTAAAACTTTTGTGCTTTATTTGGTCTTTGGGCCTGACAGAACATGAATACCATATGTTTAATACTTTGTCTTGTTGTTGTACTAAATATTATAATTTCATGGTAACTTTTGTAGTGGCTTTGGAAGGTCATAATTTGCATACCTTTTTGTAGGAAAATGCAACATCTGGGGCAACTTTAAAAACTAGAAATGAAATCACACAGACCTTCAGCCATGAAAGCTCTCAGAGCGAAAATTCAAAATAAAAATATCACCTCTTTTATTGGCTGTAAAGTGGTGCTTCTGTTTCTCATGGTGTTCCCTGGCATGGACTGATCCAAACTGCTTGCAGCACATTCGACAAGATGTGGCTGTTCCCATGGCGACAAATTTTGTTTCCCTTCTCAGTGTCATATTCCAGCAACTCCTTTGATTGTTCACAAGAACCACTTCATGCTCAGCCTGTTAAACAAATTAACTGTATGAGTGAATTAATACTGAATCGCCTGGATCAGGGTCAAGGAAATTCATATTTTGAGGAACAGAAAGCATAACAAAAAATTAAATTTTATTGAGGTAGATTGAAAACCATGGAAGGCTAACATTCTGTTTCTACAGTAGCCAACCAGACACTTATGGGAAGCTTCCAAATTTTACACAGACACATTATCTTCTCCTCCTAGGCAGCAGGTTTCAACTAGAATTACATCTAGTCCTCATGTACTGACCATAAGTTTGACCATTTGCTCAGTCATTAAGCAAATCTGTCAATAAGTGAAACTGCAGGTTTGCTTTGCTTTACAAACCCGTGAAAGTTATAAATAAAGAATTGGTTGCAAAGTTATATTTTCCTCACTGTCATATCTGTGCATGGTCACTGTCAGATGCAGTTGTTCAACAAGGACTAGTTGCAGAATATGTTTATCATAACTAGTTGCTTTATGAAGCTTTACACTCTTTGAAATTGTTCCATGGATCTGCTGATCTTTGCCGTCCTCCAAAACAGTTCCATCACTTTATTTGGGAACAAAGAGTAGATGAATCTTATAATATGAAGAAATAAGTTATTCAATCTGTTTCAAATTTTCCACCATATAACTTCCATGAATGTATTTAGTCATTAGGAGACAAGAAAGCTCCATTTTTCATCTACTTTCTCCATATGGCATATAATTTTATGTAACTTTATTAAGACTCCTTCCAACCATTTATTGCCCAAACCCCTGAAAATGTTGTAATCCTATCTCGCTGGAAAGCCCTTTGATCATTTTGATTCTTCTTTTTTGTCTTTTTTTCTGTTCTACAATATACTTTTACCACACTGTAATCAGAAGATCACAATGTTTAAGACACACATTTCGCATTTTAAATGTCTCTCCAGGAAGGCAAATTCCCTGATTTTGACCCAGATTTAGAATTTTCAACCTGCATTGAGTGCTTAAAGCTTTTGAAAGACTTAACATACCATTCCATCCCTTAACATATCCTCCCCCCAAAGAGGGGGAAACCAAACTGTTGAAATAGCCTTGAACACCTGAGAATATTATATTCTTACTATGTTTTTCTCTGCAGCTTGTAGTCAGCTTGCCACCCAAAAGTGGGCCACTTAGTGCTATGTTGAAAATTCTAAATCTGGGTCAAAATCAGGGAATTTGCCTTCCTGGAGAGACATTTAAAATGCGAAATGTGTGTCTTAAACATTGTGATCTTCTGATTACAGTGTGGTAAAAGT